AAAATAAAGAAATGAATGAAGAACCAAAAATAGGAAAAATCTCCATGTTGCAGAACATCGGTAAGGTAAAAGATTTTTTGTGCCACTGAAATTTAGTAGCAAAACTCAAACAAGGCTATGAAAATGATACGATAAATCCAAAGGGACAAGAGACTATAAAAATATTAATTGAATGGAATTAGTGATTCAAATTTTAGAATATGAAAATACTATATGGAAGGAAATAATGAGTATATAAAGTTCGGTGAAAAATATGTTTGAGTATAAAATAAATGCTAAACAAATGTTCTAGAGGTTTTGTCGATCGAACCGACCGAACTAACTGACACCAAAATTTTTAAAAATTGAACCGACCGAAATGAATAGTCAAAACCGAATTTGTTATTATTAATTTAAATCACAAGCTTTACTCTTGTTATTATTAATTTTAATTGTGGACGAATTATAGATTGTTCAAGAATTTGCACTCTAATTTTAAATCATTGCAAAAGTCCTAGTTCAAAAACCAGAAAACATCCACAGCATGGCTGCAGAAAACCAAACCAAACACAGGACAGGAATGGCTGCAACATGTGTGCAGGGTATTACCTCACCCTCAAATTTTCCTTTGTATGTATATCTAATCATAAAAATTACAGAATGATCCTAAAAGCCAGGTAGTTCACTTCAAACAACACAAACGAACATGAAGACCCTTCCATAAGCCCCATGCGCACAAAGAATACACAACCCTCTTTCGTTTCAAAGTGCATGTTAAAGGTACAATACTACCATACTGTTTGTCCATACCCATTGGCAACACCTAACACAACATAAAAAGGATCAACCAAAAGACAACACTTGTCAAAACAATTATTATCCCTCTGCCTTTACGAAAATAAATTAAAAAAAAATGCCTTATAAAGCGATTTTGATGTACGTCCATATTCCTAATCCTGCATTTAGATTGGAGAAAAGCAAAGTAAAACTTTTACACAAGCAAATGCAAAGAACAAAATGTTTTAAAATCATAATCCAACTAACTTAAAGAAAAAAAAAAGATATATATATATCGTATGCACCTCACGAATCAACACAAAAAAACTCAAACACATATACATACATTCTATATAGATGAATTACCCACCTATTTATTAATACTCTAAATTATTACAGTCTATACCTCATTTACATTCAACAAATATACCAACATTCATAAACCGATAAAAAAATATACTGATTAAACCAATTATAATCCAATTAAACGACAAATAACGGACGCAACTTCAATATACAAAAAAGTATTTTTCCTGTAAAATAACTCTCTAAATTTTGTGCCCAAAAAATATAAATAAAGCAAACGTATCCAATATAATTCTACACGAAAACGAAAAAAATTAATTTTCCCATCCATACCTGTAAAGTTTCCTTCGCTATCCTCGCCTTTACCTTCGTTTCTTTGTTCCACAAAAACTGCGCCCTCAGAGAAAAAAGGCTCACATAAATACAAACCCTTTTACCTCTCACATAAATCCATCTGTAAGGGTTCAGAAAGCCTATTTTTAAAAACTCAATCAAAAAATATTCTCGGCCCATTACAATAACTGAATTTAATAGGCCTCTAAAACACAGCTACAGACACAACTAAAAACACAAATATTTCAAAAATTATCAGCTGGACTCTCCACAACACGACTATAAATACTAATCATTACTACAAAAAAAAATTAACAAATAAAAAAATATGAAAAAACATATGGACCGTAAGAGAATATACCTTACGCTGCTTTTCAATTTCTTCCCTTCTTGTTCCCACGGCTTCCTGACTCTGGTGGCTCTTGGTACGTAACCAAGCCTAATATTCTCCTCACTATTCCGATTGTGGTCACAAGCACGTCCATTCAATTCAATTGTTATATTAGAATTCCTGAGTCTCGGAACCTCGAACTCGTCGGGCTCATCAATATGATTACGAGCACATGTGGACAACAAAGGCCAATTTTGTGCCAACGTGAAAATCCAATCCGGTATTTTCCTTGAAGGTTGTTCACTTTGCCTTGCGATCCATTGCATAATCGGTATAAAACGCATTGCTTTCGAGATCAACACAACACTTCGGCAGAAACTCAAAACCACGACATTTTTGAGAGCCGTATTTTCATCCAATTTCTATAGAGGCACCGCTAAAAACGCGTCAAGTATTTCCTCCAACGTTCTATCGCCCAACATTGGTTTTTCAGTTAACAAACTCGAGTATTTGCATCCGATATGATCTATACTTCGGCCATTTTTAAGCGTGGCTGTCACTTCCCCGCCCTCCTGCAGCTGCATCCAGTGTACTCTTCCCCTACGATACGATTCTTCATCTTTCTTGAAAGCCTTCTCGAATCATTCTTTTTCACGGCTTTGTTCCGTACTACAAGCCGGGCCTCTCTCCCATTTTGTCCCTTTAGGACCAAAGAAATTACGGTCGGTTCCAAGCACCGTTCGACATACGGATGTTTGGAACATCCAACAGTATCGATAATCTTGCGCGAAGTCATGTGATTTTTTATTTTTATTTTTTTGGTGGAGAAGTGAATGGGGAAAGAGTAAAAGAAAAAAACCATGAAGAGAAAAGAACTGGGAAGAAGAGAAAATTTAAGGGTGGAGAGTATAAGAAAAAGCCGCAAAGAGAAAGAAACTGGAAAGTAGATAAAATTTAAGAACTAAGCAAAAAAACAAAAACGGACGATTAAAATAAAGAAATGAATGAAGGACCAAAAATAGGAAAAATCTCCATGTTGCATAACATCGGTAAGGTAAAAGATTTTTTGTGCCACTGAATTTTAATAGCAAAACTTAAACAAGGCTATGAAAAATGATAAGATAAATCCAAATGGATAGGAGAATATAAAAGTATTAATTGAATAGAATTAATGATTCAAACTTTGGAATATGATAATACTATATGGAAGGAAATAATTAGTATATAAAGTTCGGTGAAAAATATGTTTGAGTATAAAATAAATGTACACAAATGTTCTAGAGGTTTGGTCGATCGAACCGACCGAACTAAGAAAACCGAACTAACTGACTCCAAAATTTTTACGAACCAAACCGACCGAAATGTGGAACAAAACCGAATTTGTTATTATTAATTTATATAACAAGATTTACTCTTGTTTTTATTAACTTAAATTGTGGACGAATTATAGATTGTTTAAAATTTACTCTCTAATTTTAAATTATTGCAAAAGTCCTAGTTCAAAAATCAGAAAACATCTACAGCATGGCTGCAGCAAACCAAACCAAACACAGGACAAGAGTGGCTGCAGCATGTGTGCAGGGTATTATCTCACCCTCAATTTTTCCTTTGTATGTATATCTAATCATAAAAATTACAGAATGATCCTAAAAGCCAGGTAGTTCGCTTCAAACAACACAAATGAACATGAAGACCCTTCCATAAGCCTCATGCGCACAAAGAACACACAAATGCGTCTTTTGTTTTCAAAGTGCATGTTAAAGGTACAATACTACCATACTGTTTGTTCATACCCATTGGCAACACCTAACACGACATAAAAAGGATCAACCAAAAGACAACACTTGTAAAAACAATTATTACCCCTCTGCCTTTACCAAAATAAATTAGAAAAAAAAACGCCTAATAAAGCGATTTTGATGTTCGTCCATATTTCTAATCCTGCATTTAGATAGAAAAAAAACAAAGTAAAACTTTTACATAGGCAAATGCAAAGAACAAAATGTTTTAAAATCATAATCCAACAAACTTGAAGAAATATATATATATATATATATGTATGTATATCATATGCACTTCACGAATCAGCACAAAAAAAATCTCAAACACATATATACACATCCTATAAAGATGAATTACCCACCTATTTATTAGTACTCTAAATTATTACAGTCTATACCACATTTACATTCAACAAATATACCAACATACATAAACCGATAAAATAACATACTGATTAAACCAATTATAATCTAATTATTCTTGTTATTATTAATTTAAATAACAAGCTTTACTCTTGTTATTATTAATTTAAACTGTGGACGAATTATAGATTGTTTAAAAATTTGCTCTCTAATTTTAAATCATTGCAAAAGTCCTAGTTCAATACCTAGAAAACATCCACATCATGGTTGCAGCAAACCAAATCAAGCTTTACTCTTGTTATTAGTAATTTAAATTGTGGACGAATTATAGATTGTTCAAAAATTTGCTCTCTAATTTTAAATCATTGCAAAAGTCCTAGTTCAAAAACCAGAAAACATCCACAACATAGCTGCATTAAACCAAACCAAACACAGAGCAGGAGTGGCTGCAGCATGTGTGCAGGGTATTATCTCACCCCCCAAATTTTCCTGAAACAGTTGTATGTCCTAAAAGCCAGGTAGTTCCCTTCAAACAACACAAACGAACATGAAGATCCTTCCATAAGCCCCATGCGCACAAAGAATACACAACCCTCTTTCGTTTTCAAAGTGCATGTTAAAGGTACAATACTACCATACTGTTTGTCCATACCCATTGGCAACACCTAACACAACATAAAAAGGATCAACCAAAAGACAACACTTGTAAAAATAATTACTACCCCTCTGACTTTACCAAAATAAATTAAAAAAAAAAACACCNCTATTTATTAGTACACTAAATTATTACAGTCTATAACTCATTTACATTCAACAAATATACCAACATGCATAAACCGATAAAAAAACATACTGACTAAACCAATTATAATTCAGTTAAACAACAATAACAGAAGCAACTTTATTCTATAATTCAGTTACATTCAACAAATATACCAATTATAATTCAGTTAAACAACAATAACAGAAGCAACTTCATTCTATAAAAAAAAAAAAGCATTTTTCCTCTAAAATAACTCTCTAAATTTCGTGATAAGAGACTATAATTCTATACACTAAAAAACAGAAATAAAGCAAACGTATCCAATATAATTCTACACGAAAACAAAAAAAAATAATTTTCCCACTCATGCCTTCAAAGTTTCCTTTGCTATCCTCGCCATCACCTTCGCTTCTTTGTTACACACAAATTGCGCCCTTAGAGAAAAAAACGCTCACATAAATACAAACCCTCTTATCTCTCACATAAATCCGTCCATAAAGGTTCAGAAAGCCTATTTTTAAAAACTCAATTAAAAAATATTTTCGGCCCATTACAATAACTGAATTTAATAGGCCTCTAAAACACAGCTACATACACAACTAAAAACACAAATATTTCAATTTAAGGCCCAAGTGTTAAATAAAATTCTCTTCAAAATTTTTCAGCTGGACTCTACACAACACAACTATAAATACTAACCATTACTACAAAAAAAAAAAAAATTAACAAATAAATAAAATGAAAAAACATATGGCCGTAAGAGAATATACCTGACGCTGCTTTTCCTTTTCTTCCCTTCTTGTTCCCACGGCTTCCTGACTCTGGTGGCTCTTGGTACGTAACCAAGCCTAATATTTTCCTCACCATTCCGATTGTAGTCACAACCACGTCTTGCTCTCCATTGAATTCAATTGTTATATTATAATTTCTGAGTCTCGGGACCTCGAACTCGTCGGGCTCGTCAATATGATTACGAGCACATATGGACAGCAAAGACCAATTCTGTGCCAATGTGAAAATCGAATCCAGTATTTTCCTTGAAGGTTGTTCACTTTGTCTTGTGATCCATTGCATAACCAGTGTAAAACGCATTGCTTCCGAGATCAACACAACACTTCAGCAAAAATTCAAAATCACTGCCTTCTTGAGAGCCTTATTTTCATCCAATTTCTATAGAGGCACCACGAAAAACGCATCAAACATTTTCTCCAACGTTCTATCGCCCAACATTGGTTTTTCAATTAACAAGCTCGAGTATTCGCATCCGATATGATCAATACTTCGGCCATTTTTTAGCGTGACTGTCATTTCCCCACCCTCCTGCAGCTGCATACAGCGTACTCTTTCGCTACGATATGATTCTTCCGCTTTCTTGAAAGGCTTCTCGAATCGTTCTTTTCACGACCATGATGTAGAGGTCTTTGTGCCGTACCGCTAGCCGGGCCTCTCTCCCATTTTGTCTCACAGGGACCAAAACAAAGTACGATCGGTTCCCAGCACCGTTCGGCATACGTATGTTTGGAACATCCGACGGTATCGATAATCTTGCATGAAGTCGCTCGATCACTCGTTGGTACTTGGTACTCTGTAAGATAAAAGTTAAACTCATACTCATAGCTGAAGTCAGGATCATTCATAAATCTAATGGAAGCCATATGATTTTTTATTTTTTTTTCGGGTGGAGAAGTGAATGGGGAAAGAGTAAAAGAAAAAAACTGTGAAGAGAAAGGAACTGGGAAGAATAAAAAATTTAAGGGTGGAGAGTATAAGAAAAGGCCGCGAAGAGAAAGGAACTGAGAAGTAGAGAAAATTTAAGAACTATGCAAAAAAAAAACAAAAACGGACGATTAAAATAAAGAAATGAATGAAGAACAAAAAATAGAAAAAATCTCCGTGTTGCAAAATATCGGTAAGGTAAAAGATTTTTTGTACCACTGAAATTTGGTAGCAAAACTCAAACAAGGCTATAAAAAATGATACGATAAATTCAAATGGACAGGAGAATATAAAAATATTAATTGAATGGAATTAATGATTCAAACTTTGGAATATGAAAATACTATATGGAAGGAAATAATGAGTATATAATGTTTAGTGAAAAATATGTTTGAGTATAAAATAAATTTAAACAAATATTCTAGAGGTTTGGTCGATCGAACTGACCGAACTAAGAAAATCGAACTAACTGAGTCCAAAATTTTTAGAAACCGAACCGACCGAAATGTGGAGTCAAAACTGAATTTTAGCTAAACTGAATAATTTATTCGAACCGAAACCGGCCAAACCAAAAATTTTGGTTCGATTTTTATCAGGCTCGGTCGGTTTTTTAGTTTTTAAGTCTATAATATTTCGGTTATTTCGGTCGGTATCGATTTCGAACACTTATAAAATCACAAGATGTACTGCATTAATATGCATGAACAGAGATTAAATCTCATTGAAAAAATCAGGCATAGGATCTTGTTCCTTACTAATGTACATGCACAAAGATTAAGATTAAATCTCTTCTTTTGTTTCTATCTTTTGTATTTCTTATATGTGTTTCTTTTTTTACCGTCTGTTTTGTTTGCATATTTTAGGTTAAAGTTAGCCTCCTACTCTTTGAATAGGTCAAACAACTGAACAAGCATGATGACAGTGTTAGCGGCATTTTCTGCTTGCAATTTATCTTAAAAAACTATTATTTTAACGTAGATTTGCAATTTATAATGTAGATTTGCAATTTAATATTCATTCACTGTCTTTCAGTTGCACAACATTTTGATCTGGATAGGACTCTAATGAAAATTAAATTCCATTAAGAAAACTAAATCAAATCCCACATACAATCGTGTAAATTAATTAAGAAAGTTGAGGGCATGATTTAATTTTCGCATGCATGAAATGTAAAAGTGTTTAATTTGCTTGGAAGAGTATTATTATAAAGACAATATCAAAATATAAATCAGTCATTTAAATTAATTTTTGTAAGAAAAAATTGATTTTGTACCGATTCAACGATTCCATTTTATGTAAGTGGAAGACTTAGAAAATTCTCAAAACCATTTTAAGGTGAATGAGAAATTAATTTTAAGTGTTATATGTTGAATAATTGAATTTAAATAACTCAAAGGTTGTTGGGTTCACAAACATTATGTTTTGAAAAATGTTTGGAAAAATTAAACGAGCCATAATTAAGCATTATGTATGCTAGAATTGTAGAAGGGCTTGTTGGGGACAAGTTGGAAAAAACGAAACTAAATTCCGAGTCCGAACGAACGCGTACGAGCTCCCGAGTGCAGTTGCGCGCCAGGCCCGTCTCTCTGCGCGCCAGGCCCGTCGCGGGCACGTCGGCCATCACGGGCGCGACAGCCCTTCGTTCGGAACTTCTGTAAAATCGGGCGCGACGAGCTCACGACCATGACATACCTGTTCATTTTGGACAGGTTTATAACCAGTTTTAATCGACCGGGCACGTCCCAAAAGGTGTCTTTTGATGTTTTGAACCCCCTGGAGATATGTTATAACATCTACAAATACCCATGAAGTGAAATAGTAAAAAAAATCAAAATTATTCAAGATTCTTTGCATCTTTTTTACAAAGTTCATATTCATCTTGTGTTCTTTGTGTTATTTCTTATCTTGAGAGTTCCGAAACTTAAATATTGTTCGCCGAAGGTTTGTGTATTTGAGTTACTGCTATACACAAATCAAAGTCGTGTATCTTGGAAGCGTTAGCCGTGAACCATTGGTAATATACATGTCTATTTCGTCTTAAGGAGAGCGTACCTTACGTACCTCGACTTTATTCATTTTGTCATTTTCCTTCTGATTTCTTAAGCCATTTTCTTGAGATTCACATACCACATACTCCACATTCTCAAGACGAAATATTGTGAGTTCATAAGATGGGAACCGGAAGAAAACCGAACATCTTCTTCAAGTGCTCAACCAATGGCAGTTGCTCCCGTCCAAGGCGAGAGACCGCCGAAGTTCAATGGCTCTGATTTCAAGAGGTGGCAACAAAAGATGCTTTTCTACCTCACAACACTCTCCCTCTCTCGTTTTCTTTCAGAGGACCCTTTGATCGTCCCTGAAAATGAGACCGACGTGCAAAAGCGTACAGCCTCGGATGCGTGGCATCACAACGATTTCTTGTGTAGAAATTACATCCTTAACGGACTAGACGACTCTCTCTACAATGTCTATAGTCCGATTAAGACGACAAAAGAATTATGGAATTCTTTGGAGATAAAATACAAGACGGAAGATGCCGAGATTAAGAAATTTGTCAACGGCAAATTCCTAAAGTATTTAATGGTGGACTCCAAGTCGGTAGTTAGCCAAGTCCAAGAGATTCAAATTATCTTTCACGATTTGTTGGCCGAAAGGATTGACTGTGAATGAGGCCTTCCAAGTTGCGGCTATTGTTGAAAAGTTACCACCTCTTTAGAAGGACTTCAAAAACTATCTCATGCATAAACACAAAGAGATGACGTTGGAGGACTTGATTGTTCGACTTCGGATTGAAGAAGATAACCGAAAGTCTAAAGTAAGGGCCAACCGGAGCGACTACGAGGCTAAAGCGAACTTGGCCGAGTCAAACTCTAATAAGAAGCGCAAGAGAACTTCAAATAGAAAGCAACCACAAACGAGCACCATGAAGTTGAAAGGGAATTGCTACAATTGTGGTAAATCCGAACATCTTGCGAAAGATTGTCGTCTCCCGAAGAAGGGTAAAGATAGCGCACATATAGCCGAGGATAAATCTGTTCCCATTGACTTATCTGAGCTCGATCTTACCGCCGTGGTCCAAGAAGTTAACTTGGTTAATAATCCACGGGAATGGTGGGTCGATACGAGAGAAACTCGACATATTTGTGCGGATAGAGATATGTTCTCATCTTATAACCCTACTGACGGAAGGATGTTGTTCATGGGAAACTCTTCGACATCAAACGTCGTGAGAATGGGCAAGGTGGTGCTGAAAATGACATCAGGCAAAGACTTGATGCTAGTGAATGTGCTGCATGTACCGGACATCTGTAAGAACCTTGTATCCGGTGCTCTTTTGAGCAAAGTCGATTTTGGTTTAGTCTTTGAGGCCGATAAATTTGTAATGACTAAGAATGGTGTCTTCTTAGCGAAAGGGTACCTAGATGAGGGTCTTTTTAGGATGAATGTAATGAATGTTATCTGCCAAGAGGCGAAGAATAAAGAAAGTATTTCTTATTTGTTGGAATGTTCTGATTTATGGCATCATAGATTAGGACATATGGACTTTAACACAATTAAGAGGTTGGTGAACTTGGAATTGATACCAAAATTTAAGATCGATTCACACAACAAGTGCGAAACATGTGTTGAAGCAACAGTGGCTAAAGCACCGTTTAACCAGGTGAAGAGAAGCACTAGTCCACTCGAGTTAATTCACACTGACATATGTGATATAAAATTTGTACAAGCTCGAGCGGGGATGAAGTACTTCATTACATTCATAGACAATTGTCGAAGGTATTGTTACGTATATCTACTGAAGAGTATAGACGAGGCATTAGAGGCCTATAAGATGTATAAAAATGAAGTTGAGAATCAACTTAGTCGAAAGATCAAAGTGATTCGAAGTGATAGAGGAAGCGAGTATGTAGCCCTGTTTGAAGTGGTCTGCAAAGAGTCATGTATTATTCATCAAAAGACGGCTTCATATTCACCACAATCTAATGGAGTGGTCGAGAGAAAGAATCGGACACTAAAAGAGATGATGAATGCACTTTTGATAAGTTAAGACTTACCCCAAAATTTGTGGGGGAAGCGGTTCTTTCGGCAAATTATATTTTGAATAAATTACCCCACAAAGGTAACTACAAAACGCCATATGAGTTATGGAAAGGTCATAAACCTACCTACAAATACTTAAAAATGTGGGGGTGTTTGCCAAAGGTTGAAATACCTAAACAGAAATAAGTAAAAATTGGACCAAAGACTATTGATTGTATATTTATTGGTTTTGCAAACAATAGTAGTGCATATCGATTTTTGGTGCATAAATCAGAAATTTCAAAGATTCATAATGGAATAATTATTGAGTCTCGAAATACGGTGTTGTTTGAGAATATTTTTCCTTGTAAAGACAGGGAAGTAACAATTCCGAGAAAAAGGACATTCAAAGAGACCGAGCTACCTCAACAAATTGAGGATGCGCCAAGGCGTAGTAAGAGAACAAAAGTACCTAAGTCTTTTGGTCATGAATTTCTAACTTATGTGTTAGAGAACGAACTGAGAACCATTCGGGAGGCTTTGACAAGTCCTGATGCTCCTTTTTAGAAAGAAGCTATCAATAGTGAGATAAAATCCATTATGCACAATAATACTTGGGAGTTGATTGATCTCCCACCGGGTAGCAAACCTTTGGGATGTAAATGGATCCTTAAAAGGAAGTTTAAAGCTGATGGAACTATTGATAAGTATAAGGCCCGATTGGTTGTAAAAGGGTTTAAGCAAACGAAGGGATATGATTTCTTTGATACATATTCTTCTGTAACTCGAATCACATCTATACGTGTTCTCATTACAATTGCAGCGATGCATGACCTTGAGATTCATCAAATGGGTGTGAAAACGGCCTTCTTAGACCTCGAGGAGAAAATTTATATGGAACAACCCGAGGGGTTCGTTG